CCATAGACACCTGGCTCTTACCGTCCCACGGCTGTCGCGCAGCATGCCCCCCTGAAACGGGCCGGGGCTGGTCCCTTAAGAAAAACAATCCCATATTAAGTTCGTATCCCACCGGGCAGAGCTGCCGGTGGGAAATGAGGGCTCCTTCAGAGTCTGCAGAGGGGTCAGGTCAGGGTCCCCACCGTAACGGGGACCTGGCGAAGGAGTGGGTTAGAAAAGAGGTTTCCTAGAGAGTGGAGACTTGCAGATGACTTTCGAAAACTCTGCCAAGTTTTCGTCTGTCTGCTGAGACCCTCAGGGATACTCTGGCATCATGTGCGCTGAAGTGAATTAATAATTATGCTAAGATCAACTGAGATAATAAGGTAGTGTAAATGAGAAGAAAACCTGTTTTCCCTAGTACATTTGGAGAATGACTTACCTACAGATATCACATGCTCTGGAATGAAATACTGAGAATATGTTGGCTGGGTTAGACACATTTCCTCTCATGGACACTGAGGAAGGAAAGGTTCATCTGGCTTCTGCTACACTTGTCTCATCCACTATGGCTTTTTTTGGCCAAATGACTTTACTGTGTGTTAGACACCAGCGATGAGCACTGTGAAGAGCAGATGGGGAGTTTAATGCACCCTCTGCAGCTCCGTCTTGTGTCTGGCTAATGTCCATGTGCAGTTCTGAAAGGATGTTGGAAAAGGTTGTTCTTCATTTTAAATTGCTCTTAGGGAGCTGTGCAGTCCATAAAGTGCTGCAGAGGCACTTCTGTGAGACGTGCTCTGTTTGATACAGTCTACACAGTTTCAGTACAAGAGTGACTTGGAATGTCATGAAACAGTCAGTCCTGGAGGAACAAGACATATGAACAAGAAGGAAAAAGACAAAGCTTAAAGGAATAATCATTCCCAAGGATGAGCCGTATTTCTCCTTGATAATAACCAGTGAGTGCAGAGGCATGCAAGAGGTGGGTTTGGCTTTCAAGTGGCAAAAATGCTCCTTATTTCACCTGTGAAAAAGGAAATCAATGTTTTTGTGGGTTTTGGGTGGTTTTTTTGTTTTTCTGTTTGGGTTTTTTATGTTTGGCTTTTCAGAGTGGAAAGTCACATGCATGGCATATGAACAAAAAAAGGATATAGTATCAGCTAGTACGATGATATTCCTAACCTGGAAGCAGACCACTGGCTCACTTCAACTTGTAGTTACTGCAGAAAAGGGCACATTTGACAGTGAACTTGCTGATTACATTAACTTCTGTGGAAACAGCGCACAAAGCCTGTTGGAACTGTGGGGAAAGAAATGTTGTAGACACTTACTACAGTACTGGCAATGGTTAGATTAGAGGTGAAAAATCCTGCTGGAACCATTTTGAAAAAAATACGGAGAATTTGCTATAACCTTTCTTATTTGTATACTCAGACTAGTGGCAGAGACTTTCTGGTACAAGCCCTGTGTCTGGGATGTCACTGGATATAAACAGAGACAGATGGTGCATTGAAGTTCTCAACATTGGTTTTGCATATTGATAAGTTCCCAGGTACAAAATTCTAAGGAAATAAGAGAACCAAAAGCGGTAAAGAAAAATGTTTGAATCTTGAAAAAAATAAAGAAGTCAGTGGAAAGGTTTCTGTTATAGCTCAATTATTTCAGCAGTGGAATTGCAACCTGGGACAGACAACAAGAATTTTCCTAAGGTCAAGCAGGGAGAAGAACAGAAGGAAAGGCAAATGCAACAGAGCTGAAGTGGCTGCTAAGCCAGGCATGTTGTTGCTAGGACTGGCCAGAAAAAACCCAGTGCTTTCCAAAGGAAACAAGCTATGATTGCTTGGACTTGTATTACTTTTGTGGATTTTTGCTCAAAGCTTAATCTACTGAAGAATGAGAAAATTCCT